AATTGATTAAAAAAAACCTGGTAACTAGATGTCGCTCTACTATACAGTAGGTTACAAGTGGGTTTTAAATTGTCAACCCTTAGCTATAAGATTTAAAATTTTTAACAATACAATTATTTGTAAATTTTGAATAATATGAATTTCGTCAGAATTTGTTTTTTTTTTTTAAACAATGCTTATGTATTTTTAATATTTTTACAATTGATATTAAAGAAATGTATATTCAGAAGCCTTGTATTACATTTTCAATCTTTTTGACAAAACAAATACAATTTTATTGACAATTATAGAAAAAAATATAAAAAAATCCAAAATTTTAAATGTCCTTAAAGAGCTCAAAACGAGTCAAAATATATGAATTAATAATCTAAACATGTGGGGTACATTTCAAGTGTATGCAGTTATTCGTTTTTGAATTACAACGAAATTAAAAAATTGAAATATGAGAAACATAGTGCATATTGCTCATCAAAATTTAATTTGACTTTTAGGTAGAAATTTTTTTTTATAAGGTAGACAAACTTATAAGGAATCTTGTATTAAATTTAAAAATCTTAGATATAATAAGACAATTTTTTGTAAATTTTTAACTCAAAATAATTTTCAAATTATCATGATTTTTAAGAACTTTGTCAAAATTCTAAATGATATATTATAATAGATTTACGCTCAATTTTTTTTTTATTTCCACTCACTTACGAGTAACTTTGTATTTATTTTAAAGTTTTTTGACCAAGTGAAAAATATTCATAGACATTAGTATAAAAAACAAATAATATTCGAACATTTCATATGCCTATAAATAGTTCAACACGAGTTAAGATATTTTTGAAAATTGTATGGTGTATAGAAAACACCGTTAAACATTCAGTGAAAATTGCATGTATCTACAATATTTGCTTTTGTAAACTATTGGGAATTTTTTACTTATGACCTCCCAAAGTACCAACTAGATTCACTTTCCTGCCAGAAATGATGTTGTTGGAGAAAATCGATGTACTTTTATTGTCCCAAAACGTGATGACGAACAGACAAACACAAAAAAAAAAATGAAATAAAAGAACATATATCATTGTAAAATTAATACATGCATCGCTCCTTTCAGAATTTAAAACATACACCATTATAAAATCAATAGATCTATTGCTCTGCTCAGAATTTATGATATATTGTGCTAAAAATTAAATTTGTATTATTAAACAAACTTAACAGACAACTTGGGTTGATTAAAAAAATTAATGCGCAGTGTTTGCTGGTTTCTATAAAAATACCTATTATTTTGAATTAAGTAAAGATAATATTTTTCATCTGAACTTAGAAAAAATTCAATTATTCATTAACTTTTTTTATGAAAATACTATTTTATGAATCAAATTGATACATTTTTAAAAATACCAGTTAAATTAACTAGCAGCTCCTAAAATACCCTAATTTTTATACAACTTATTTAAATTAATATTATACATCGACATTATTTGGCAAATTGGCTAAATTGATTAACTCACTTACTTATTAGTTATTTCATACTAACACACATTTGAATGGTTGCCAATTGAAATACTAAAGGAACATAATAATACATTATGACTTATAACTTATATATACATGTACCTTTTTTTAGTATTTATTAAGCACCTATTTTAAATTAAAATTTTTTTAATTGTTATAATTTAAATTTTTAAATGACCGCTATTAAAAACTATTTTACATTAACAATACCGAAAAAAATGATATTTGCTGAAGATTTGAAAACTTAGATTACCGCCAATGCTTACTCAAATATTTATAAACTTCTACAGGAAGCCTCAACAATCCGTTGTCAGCGCTCTTTAACTCCTATGGGCAGAATAAAACATGGATGTGATATACAATAGTTAGGTTTTATAAAATTCAACGACGTGTCTATTATAAATATTGAAAAAGATTTGGTGCAAAAGGTGAATAATAAGGACATAATCAGTTAATGTTTTTTTAAATAAAAATCGATACATTGTATGAAATAAACATATTATGTTCCGAGTACCTATTTGTGTGCCTATACTATATGTAGGTACATATAAATGTGAAATGAGTTTTTTACTAATGGCTATTCTCAGAAACAACTTAACCGATTTAAATTTAAGTTATATCAATAGATTCATTTAGACTCGGTGGATGTTGATAGTTTATTTTCTAACAACTATAGGTATGTGTTTTATTTATACATACAGTTGTCGTTGGTTACAGAGACATAAAAGGAAAACAAAATGGTATAGACTAGAATCATCTATGCATTGATTTTTGATTTTTTTAAATTAAAAAAAACATATTGTACATAATTTATTGATTATCTTTTAATTATACTATAGATAAACTCAATAAAGCAATGTCCTCCTATTATGTTTATAGCTTATAGAATCAAAAACCGCTGATAGATTTTAACGAATGTTTCAAAGATTGATTTGCGTCTATCAATTTGATAATTATTTGAAAAATTATTTAAACCACATTCGAAAATTTGCCGACTGCTATATCCAAACAGCCATAGTTATTATATTATATACTAACTAATCCAGTACGATGACGTTGCATTTAGAAATTAAATGATTCCCATGGAATTACCCCGTCTTAAGGGGTGGTTTTGGCCAAATATAAAATACAGACCTAAGATTATATCCAATCGTAATAACTATTTTATAGAATATAGTGTTTAGAATACCTGAATACCTATCTATTATTTACCTGTTGACTGTTGTTTTCATCGTGACTTTCGTTGTCGTGATTGGTAATAGGCAATACTCGCAAATAGGGCAATAGTCTATTGTAGATGTATTAAAGTATGAATTTTCGATATTTGTTGACCTTCACTTCTAAACATATTACAATTATTTATTAAGTTTATAAGTTAAAATCAAAGTTATAAATGTTATAAATATTATAAATAATTACTTACAACCAAATTTCAATTTAAAAAAAAAAACAGTTTACCAGTTTTTCTTATAGTTTGATTCCAGTGAAAACCTACATTAACTTTTATAAAATAAGATTTTAAAATACGATACATCTTATTTTCCAAAAGAAGTTTAACAATCTTATTATTTGTTTTCGTCTTTCGACAAATTTAACTCAAATTAGTTTTAAAAAAGCTTATTCGGATACATTTCACAGGATCATGATCTCCTTTATTATTTTCTTTATGACACAGCTGCTTTAATCTATATTTATTAACATTTTATGCTGTCTTATTATTACTATTCATTACTATGTTACTACGTTATGCTTAGACTGAATACTAGTATATAAATGATCTACGATTTTATGTATTATTATTACTATCAACCTTATTCGTGTTTTATTCATTGTTTTTGAATTAAAGCACTTAAATACAAGGAAAAAAAGAAATTTCAACGAATACACGAAAATAATTATAAATAACATCTTATAGGGTATATAATAAAATATAAATATTTAATATACATATTGCTTCCTTTGGAGTCAGGCCATTTAGGCAATTTTTAATTTTGTCATAAATTTTATTTAACTAAAAAGTTTTATTTTTACTCATTTATCTGGGTCTTACAATTAATATAATTTATATGATAAGCCGTGATTATATAATATTAATATTAAAAACGAAATACCAAGATGGCAAGATGCCACACTTTAGTTAAAGTAGGTAGGTAGGTAGGTAGGTACCTATATATTATAATAAACTGTAAATTGTTTACTTTATTTTATATAGGTACATACAATTTGTTAGATTATTGAATGGTATGAATTGACATACAAAAAAAAGCAGCTACCAAAAGGACGACACTTTATACATTTACCATAGTTTTTAATTTAAATAAATTTTGCAACAAATCCATAGCAATATATATTAGTATAGATACGATTATTAGACTAAAAGAATAAAAATGCAGAATAAAAAATAAATAGTATAATATTAGGTTATTAATCAAATATTTAAGTTTACAGCTTATAATTAAATAACTGTTTATAAAATATGGGTAGGTAGTTAATAAATTCAATAGTTATTTTTATTGATTTATTACTATGTAAGTATTACCATTAAATATTAGTATAAGTGAACAATAATATTATGATATTTAAATATATTTGGTAGTATTTATCAATTATTAAGGTTCAAATGTTAAAGGAGCCAGATAAAAATGATGAATATTATATATTTTAGTTGAAATGTATTTGATTTTGCGGTAATTGGAGAGCTAAAACTACTTTTGAGGAACTAATTTGATTGTAAAATACACTAATTGTGCCCATTTATACTGAGATATCATTAGAGCCAATAATTAGTTTTCTAGTAGTCTTAACATAATTAACTGGTTGGATACAAAATAGATTAATGTATGGAATGATTTTATGTGACACTAAAAGGTGCAAGTTTGTGTATGTGAGTAAGTAATGCACATGCACATGCAATGAAATAAAATATATTTCCCTGCTCTAATTTAGTATAATACTCGTATAATATGTACACGTCACAATTTATTTTAACGTTACATAAAGTGACACTATAATTTCAAACGTGCTGACCTTTGAATATATAATATTTACATTGTTATACATTGTCACATATCCGGGTAATTATTCCGAAATAACTCTTTAAGTTCACAATTATGATTTATGAGTAACAGAATCAGCGTATGCAGAATTCAAGATAATATAGAGAATACTAGATGCCTAACCTATATAAAATACGTGACCTATAATAGTAAATTATATTTTAAGACTTTCGTGATGTAAATAGATATTGTTCATAAAATAGTTCCTTTTCAAAATGTCTGTAAAACAAAGATTTACATTTTATTTTCTGTATACATTCACGTTGAAAGTAAACGTTATATCGACAAATACGCCGATTTAACGACGCGTATAGTGGTTGAAGGGCACTAAATTATATTTATTTTATATATTCATTCAGAACGGGATTCGCTCTTATGGATTAGGATATTGGGCGTGTTCAGTGTTCTGTGATTTGTCTGAGTATATAAAGAATGGAGAACGTAAAACCGAGCTCACAGAGTCGTTGTTGGAGTTCAATTGTTGTTGTAATCCATAATTTTAATTGTTATTCTTTGTCCACTGGAAACAGTTTGACGATTATTTGCGAAAAATGGCATCTTCTATCAAAATTGATAATGGCTTCGCCATCAAACTTTCGTCTCATCAACTGGTACACAATGTTTTATTCATTTTAATTAAATATTATTAATATTTGATTTTTTATACAGTTGTATTATACCCAGACTGGGCATGTGTAGGCTTTTTGAGGATTGTAAATTTTTTTTAAATCATCCCTTTTTTAAAATCAAAATTAAATTTTAATGTTTTATACATATTCATGTTTGGATAATCAATAATATATAGAACTGCAAATTAAAAAGCTTTTGGAAAATTATTAATTCTTTTTCATAATATTATGTATAATTTATTAATGTATTTTCCAATTTAACTCAAAATTAAACTTCATAATTTTTACTGATAAACCGTACAAACACAATTTTAATAAATAAATTACATTGAAAATGTTGTTAGGATTTATCCAATTTATTTATTATAATATAAAAATTATAATACTTACAACTTAATGTTTTGAATTTGATCAACCAATATGTGAAAATATTTTAAACTATTTCTTTCATTTTTGTTAAAACCTTTATCATATATTTATATTATTTGTTGATCATTATTGTATTAATAATACCTTTATTTTTTTACTTCAACAATATAAACTCTAAATTTTTATCATGTATCTCTAAACTTAAAATAATTAGTCCAACACCCATGAGTCCGATGCTTGATTGTATAAAACATCCCATCAATAAATTAAGAAAAAAAATTTCCAAAAAATTTTAAACAAAAACCTATGCATCTTTTTTGTCAGTTAAATCTTATTAAGTAAAAAAAGAGAGCATTTTCCGCATTTTTCAAATATTTTTCTAAAATCAGTTACTGTTTTGCAGTAGTTACCCACTTTTTATTCATGAAAGTATTTAAAAATAAATACGACATTTAATATGAACTCAAAAGCGCAGCAAAGAAATAACAAAGAAATCTGTTTTACTGAAATGTGTGCTATTTATAAATTAATATATTTGTATTTCAGTTCAAGAAAAAGATCTACTACAGTAACAGCATGGACGATACAAACCAAGCAAAATTCAGTTACAGCATAGTGCCCACCACTGCCAAAGATAAGCATACGGTGGCTGCTTTCCTAAGAAAATTCTTTTTCCGCGATGAACCATTGAACGTAGCTATACAGTTATTGGAAGAAACAGACTCTGCAGCTAAACTTGAAAATTACTGCATTAGTTATTTACAATATGGTATAAATACTATGGACTTATTGCATATTTAATAAGTTGTTGTAGACCTTGTATTGGAACTAAAATTTGCATAATAGGAGGAATATTTAAATTTAAAAAAAAAAACCAAAAAATTAGAAGAGATAATACAATATTTAGAATATATTCCAGAAACCAATAATTATTATTTATCCACAATATCATATAATTTAATACCTAACACGTTTTTATTGTATAATGTAACTATGTATAAATATAAATTATTATAAACCTTAATTTATTTGTATTTATATTTGTTAACTTTTTTATATTCAGGAATGACATTTATGGCAGTATCTCAAACTGGTGATATAATGGGTGTCATTTTGAACAACATAATGCATAGAGACGACGTAGAAGAAGACGACGAGGATGGTGAAACATGCAATGACAATTTGAAGTTTAAGGACATTGTGGTTCTGTTGGACAAAATCAAACGAGAAGCAGACGTATTTGCCCAATATAAAAATGTAAATCGTATATTGGAAATAAAAATTGTTACAGTAAATGAAGCTTATAGAGGCCAAGGAGTATGCAAGGCGCTCGTCGATAAAACCAAGTACGCAAAAAACTCGTATTAATACGCATATCCTATTTGATAAATATGATGCCATATGACATTCGGTACTATAGGGTTCTATACCTAAACCAAAAGTTGAACTATTAAATTCAATACATATTGACGCGACCGTGTTTCAATTTTAATATTTAATAATGACGGTGAACAATATAGTTCATTAAATCATTAATTATTGCAATAAATTAAAATTCATATAGATATAATAGATATAAGTGTATTAAATTGAATTGCTTATCTGTGATTCGTTGAAAAGAAATTTCATTAGAAAAAAATATAAATATATGTGTTTATAAAAGCTCAAGAATATAATACAAATATTAAATTTAGGTTTATATTGCAGTAAATATGTATTTTACTGTATGCAATTACAAATAATATTAAAGTGATATTTGAATTTTTAGAGAATATGCATTGGAAATGGGTTGTCAAATGATTTACGTGGAGTGCACCAGTCATTATTCTGCCAAGGCAGTCGAGAGACTTGGGTTTCAATGCATTTATTCGCTGGCCTATAACGATTACGTTAACGAACATGGTGAGATGGTGTTCAAAACACAATCTCCACACAGAGGTGCCAAAGTGTATGTGCTGCCTTTGTAATAATATAACCATTCGATTTGAATCTCTACACAATTCACCCACCTCCTTTACAATAACAATAATAATCATTAGTCGTTACCAGTACCGTATTTTTTTGTATATAATTTTTGAATTTTTTATAATGTACCAGACTATTATGTTCAACGAAAAATCAAAATTATAAACTACGAGTAAATATATATAATGTTATTGTACTTTATTTGTAATTGTTGATTTATATAAAAAGATATTTTATTGATTTTGCTTTGTCTACTGTTACACTGTTATGAATTTCTTGTTCGAAATTTATAATATGATTATATCTTTAAAGTTGATATATTTCTATGTTTCATAAAGAATAATACTAAGCGAATTATTATTATTATTATTATTATATATTTTTTTTTGTTACATATATTATGATATTGTGTATTTAATAAAAGAAATATTCAAGTTTTAATACCTACTTATTAAATAAATATTTAAGTGTTTATACATGATCATAATATTAATATTAGTATTTAAAAAAATATGTGGAATAAAATAAAATAAAATGTTGACAGATAAAAAAATAAACCTGAGGAACCTCTCTTGTTTCGAATATACTTAGTCATTGAGCATCGTAGTTCACTGTGGTCTGTAATGGACGTGTTCATTTTGAATTCAATGATAAATAATTGTAGGTATACAAAAACAATTGTGGTGGAGTCAGAACGACAGACGTCTTTTTCTTTAGTTATATTTCTAGTGTATCAACCTCTATTTCTACGATATTTGTTTTACTATCGGTAGGTAATATATTTTTCTATTAGTAATCTATTAGGAGATTTAATAAGTTGTTGCCCTAGACATCACATAGTTAAATAATTTATATTTTAATTATATATCGTAGTATCACAAAAGTATATTATTAATTACTCAATACCTAATATAATCATATTAGATCATACAAATATTATCATTATTTATATAAGGAAAAGTCGACGTAGATAGAATGAAGTGAATAGGTTCGTATTTTCATAATAGCTTAAAATGAATAATTTAAATAAGCATTTAGAACAATCTGTTATCAAATAACATACATAAAAAATAATAATTTACATTTAAATATTATTTTACAAATTTAACAAATTAGACAAAAATAGTTATATTTCGTATAAATATTCAATTTTGTCAAAAGCGGAAATTAATATGTAAAAAAAATATTCTGCAAATATATTTTTAATATTTTATACAGTAGTAACAGAGATCACATAAGGACCCTTATTTTAAATTGTTATACTTTTGACCAAAATAACATTTTTTATCGATATAATTTGAAATAAAATTTAAAAATTTCGAAAATGTCAAATTTATTCAATTAAATCAAAAAGACCAAAAATATTTTGAAAATTATCCTATGTCTAGCAATATAAATAATTGGTTATAATGTCAAGTCTCTACGGTTATTTCTATCTGAATTATCAAGTAGCACAAATTTGTTGATAAAAAATGAAAAATAAACACTCACACTCTCACACATATAATTGCAAAACCATATATATTATTATTATAATACATTATTTGCACCTTTATAATAATCTAAAACAAAGTATTTTCAAATTAAATCGTTTATTAACATTGTTTTTTAAATTAAAATTATATTTCACTAGACGTATGTGACATTTCAGTTTTGTATCTATAAATTCAAATTAAATGAAATATGTAATTTTTGGTATTCTTTCAGCTCTATATTTTAGTACTTATCACATTTTAAAAACACTAATGGATCTTAAAATTTTTTTTCTAGTTTCTTTAACCGGTCTAGTAATGTTTATAAACGTTGTCCGTGTCACTTTATTAATATCTTATTCTTAGACATTACTTTGAAAAAATCTAAAACATATTAAAAATGTAATTAAAATATGAATAGGTACCTAATTAATTAGTATTTATATATTTTTTAATGGTGTAATCATTTTTATTATTTAATCAGATTAGAAACCATAAAAATTTTTATACTCTATGCCTAACATAATCTTTAAATGTATAGAAGAATTTCTCAACTTTCTTAAAAAATAACTTGTTATTTAACTTTTAAGTAAATATTCTATGCAAAATTATAAATGTATAATTAAGAAAGCTAATTTAAAAACTAAACAACTTAACCTTAGAAAAGTTTGTGCTTACATAACATTTATAACAATGCATCTGCAGAGTTAAAAATGTATTTATCAAGATGGTGAATACTTCTATGAGAAATTTAAATTTAAATATAGGGCTCATAGGTGTGACTTAACTTCAAAGATACCACATTGTATAAACTACAAATAATAGCTTAACATAATTTTCTGCTGCTCGATGACAGTAAAATATCGCAAGTTTATTTTTTAAAAATTTAATTAATTTTCATGTCAGACACTATCTCATTTTTGAATATCAGAGGCTCCAATAACTTCAGCAACCCTTGAAGTTTCGCCTCGTGCTAAATCAACCCCTCAGAACTTAAGTGCAGATTGAGTGTCTATTTGTTTCCTAACTAACTAATTGTAATTCATAAACAAATTATCCATACACAAAACAAAATACTTATTTTAAACGGTTAATTTATTAAATTCATTTAAATGAATTTTACATTTTTTGACGTTACATAATAAAAAAAACCTTTATTAAAAAATTTAATCTATTTTGATTCACAGGTAAAATAAGATAACAACCATACTATTATTTATTAATCTATTAAAAAAAAAACCCTCAACACTATTGATCATTAACTTTAAATTATGGTCGCATATTATAAACCCAAAGTCTGCGGCAATATGTCAATATCGTACTAAAGCTATGATGGCGAGAAAACTTAAACATACCTAAAATATCATACATTTGGGGTTTTTATAGGTAAAAATATATGATTTTATTCTTTCTGTCATAACTGTAATAATTATTGCTCAATACTATATTTTATCTGGTGCTGGTAGTTTTGAAATATTTCGTATGCTCATATTTCAAATTTCTGAACATTGAATAAACCGAGGAATAAATATGACGTGTTTTTGTTGTTGAACGTCACATAAAAAAAATAAGCCAACCTTTTAAATTTAATATACCTATTGCAATGATTAAAGAATCCAAAAGAATCCAAGTGTTAGAAAAATGTCTATGTGAAATGTCAGCAAAAAAATAATAAAATGAACTACTCATAGCTAATACAGTTGATGTTAATTCAAAATGTGTTGAAAAAATATCTCCGCAAATAATTATTAAGATAAAGTGGTCAGTGAAGTGTAAGATGAATCATAAATGCGTAGAATACATATGATGAGAATTCGTTAGAGCATAATATTATTGTTATTTGACTTACTTCGGGAACTCCAAAAATGTGTTTACTTGTACTCTTTAACTTTTTAGAATTCAACTTTTAATTATTTTTATAGTATAATTATAATTATATAACATGATAAACTCGTATTCCACGGTGATTCGCATAATGAGGATACAAATCTGAGAGTGTATTTATATAATTATAACGTATGTCAATATATGATTCTTCAACTCTTCAACACCATACATTTGTAAATTATAATTATATTATTTTTACATTAAGTGTATTTTAAAACGGTTGTAACGTTAGGTATTGAGACTTACAATTTCAATACGCAATGCATATAATGTAAATCGTTATGCATTTACCCATTTACATCGTATTCGTAAATATATTCAATGCATTTTCAAACTAGTAAATTATTTGTATGCGAGAGGACAAAATGTATGAACCACCAAAGTGTTTATATTAATTGTTAATAACTATATAACATGCTATTCTATCGTTTGAACTGTGAAATTGGTTTTTATTTAGACACTCGCGCTGTATTGAAGTCGTCTCGGGTAGCACACCCAGCTCCTGCATGTATTTTACTGGTTTCTACTAATATTTATTTACATTCTAATTCAGTAAACGCATAACACATACAAGAAACCTACCTATCTAATACTTACGTATAGGTGTGTTAAAATCGAAATGTTTTAGATTTTTATTTGTTACAAAATTTCATTTTTTTTTATGATATAGATTGTAGTTGCACATAAACACATTTCCCACCCAATAACCTTGGACTGTTTGTGTATCAAATGTATTTCATATAAACGTTTATTACTACATGAAATTGATGAAAATTCATTTGCTGGTGTTATCTTTATTTCCGTAGGTAATATTGTGCGTCATGAAATCTTGTAGAGCGCCACATAATTATTCAATACCTACATATTCAAATACGATAACGTTTTTATTGAATTTACTAAATGTATTTCACTAATCTACAACAGTTTACAAGTGTTTCACAGTACAGTATATTCAGTACTCCAATGTAATGTGTTTTTGTTTAAAATGTTAAGGATATATATGGTTCAAGAAAGAAAATAAATTCGTTTCAGCAACAATAAGTTTGGTATTAAGTGATAAGTAAATCATATAATATTGGAGGTAACACTAATGTATGAATTTATTATTATATAGTTTTACACTTTTACGAATTAAGTGTCAATAAGGTTTTTTAAATTACTTAGGTACTATAGCTGCACTATTAAGTCTTAATCTTGTCAATTTTATCATAATTTGTATTTATCATTTATCATTTCACTAAATATATAAATTAATTTTTTTAACAGTAAGACACACTGTGATAAATATACCATTAACTATTGTGACGTTTGATATAAGTTTATAATATTATTATAAACATTTTAATTCCCAATTTTTTTAAAGCATACCAACGATTAAGTTATTTTGGTAAATACATGTAACATTGTAGAGTTTAATAAAAATTATAATGACGTAACTGCTTATCTCATTTATAAAGACTGTACTACATTTTAGCGATACATTATTCCTCCATGAATCTATAACCATTAACCATACAATTATATAAATATTTAAGACGTATGTTTATGCTATTACTTATTATACATTTTGAAGGAATATTACTGGCACTCATGTTTATTATACTGCCAGGTCACATACAGATATAGACAATGATAAATGATTAAATATAATATTCTAATATAGCATTTACCTATTCTATAAAATATTATTTAATACAGTAATCCCTATAATTATTGATAACTGTGATACATTTTAATGTTTAAAAACATTTCAATGAGCCCGAAGTGACTTTAAATCGGTTCAGACACTCGGACACCGAAAGCATAATTGGAAGCTCACCTAAGCCTGACCAGGTGTGTGATTACCTCCACATTGGAAAAAAAGCGATAATTATTTTATTTATTTATTTATTTATTATTATAGTAAACGGGATAAGCCCTTGACATTTATATAACATTAATAATTAACAAGATTATAATACACTATTACATACATAATATTAACAGATAATAATGTAATACAAAATAATTACACACAAGAAGATGTTTAGATGTTATTGGATCCATTAGCTAGTGTCATCATACGTAAAATGGGTTCATTATATAAGTAATTTGTCGCACAGAACGGGACCCGGAAAGGAGAAAAGTAGGAGAAGTTTTACTTCTATTATCTTATATAAAATTATAATTATTCGTATTTAAATTAGAACCAAGTGCTAGGTATGTAATTGCAATTAATGTAATTCATATAATACATCATATTACATAATATGTATCATGTATATAATATATTATATATGTGGTTGGGTGAAAAATGATATTTTCACACGAACCGGAAAAGACTGTACACATATTTGTAATCGCTGTACAGTGAATAATTTCTCCAGAATGTATGAGATATTATATCATTATAATACTTATAACAGTGTACCTATTCAATTTATACAAGCGAGAGAGCACATGGAGTCTGCGCATCCCCGCGCGACACTCGGTCACTGAGACCGGTTCAGCTATGGCAGGGTGTCGCGTGGGGATGTGCAGAAAAACCAATTTTCGTCGTGTTCTCTGGCTCGACAGAGTGTACTCTATAGTGATTAATGGTAGTCAACGGTCACAAAGCTATATTTTTTCGCAAAATGGATTTGCTAACCATTATTGAGGTCAACGTTAAATATGTTTATAATAAGTATGAGCTGTATATTATTTAACTTTTTGATGTTCAAAAAATGGATTCACACTGGTAAATGATATTTTTTATTAATTTAGTTGATTTTTGTTTAACAAATTCTAATTTTATAAATATGTTTACAGTATTGTCCAAATAATTGTAATTAATATTGTACCTACTAATCTCCAAACATATACGAATTTGTTTTATACTTAACAAAAGTATAAATAAGGTACAAACCAAACTGAAATTATAAACCGATTGTTTTTTTAACATTTATTGCATTGTGGGTAGATATATGAATAATTCAATCATATGATAGTCCGATCGCGATGTATAGGTATGCAATACATAACTATTTAAGGCAACGAACATTAGAAGTGTGGTGAACAGCTGTAGCTATATAGATACGAATTCACGAAAAGCAATGAACTAGAAAGGTGTTCACTTCATTTGAGAGTTTTAATAGTTGTACACCTGTGTCTGACAATATGTTACGTTCGTTAATTACTGCATATTAAAGTGTATCATTTAAACGAATTCTTTATTTCTTTAGAACACTGGTAATATAAAATAAGTACCTAATTAGATCGATCATGTTTGTTGATGATAATTTGTTTTAATATAGTAGTTCATAGTTTAATTTCCACCGTCTGCATAAATATTGTTTGGTGATTATTATAGGTATGTGATTATCATAATCTGATTTATACTTTCATTTAATTGGTAAATTGTTGTTTTTGATATTAGTAATTTTATCTTGTAAAATTATGATACTATAAAATATAAAATTTAACTAAAACAATATTTTCATATTAATAAAAAAATAAACACTCGATATTAATGCTTTCGGTACATGACACATTTTAGTGACAACAAAACAAATTAACAAATTAAACAAAAAACAAGTATTGTTATTTCTATTTTAATAACCTACCTATTTTTTATTTTAAACTATTACAATTTAAAAGAAAAGTTGCATGAATTAATACTAATCAAAAATAATTAAAATAATTAGGTAAATATTAAATAATAAACGTATTTTTTAATCAATTTTGTGTCACAGGTACAATGTGAAATATCAAATAACTATTTTAAACCGTGTACTTTAAACTATTGAGAAATAAGAAGAAAAAAACATTGTAATACTAAAAGATAAAATATTTTCAATTTCCTAATTCTTATTGTTTAAACTTTAAGTTTAAAGTATAATGAAATCCACAAACATTACATAATATATTATTATGGAATTGTGTTTTTATGCTTCATAATGTTTTTATATTAAAATGCCGAAGGTAAGAAAAATGATATGTACTAAATATATATTTTTAATTTATAATATAATCTATTGCAATTCATCTGCTTATAATGTTATTGGTCAGACTATAATTCAACAAATGTAAAAGATATAGTTATATATGTGTGAATTGAACAAGCAATTCCAACTTACAATTTATAAGGTGATACGATTGATTTTCCTCACATGGGGAAAATAAAATAAGTATGATTTCTTGATTATAAAAGTTTAGTATAAAAATCAAATGCGCATAATATAATTTAATTTATACATTATATACTCATAGATTTAACACAAATTATTAATATATTTATTATTTATACTTATTAAAAAAAAAATTTTAGATAGAAACTTATAATCAGCAAAATGAATGCAGCAATGAAATCTGAAAATGCTTTTAAAGTTGTTCCTATCATTACAAAAGATGAAATTACCTTGATTGAGTTTTTGCTACAAAACTTTATCAGAGATGAACCACTTAATGCATCTATGGAGTTAATAAAAGAGAAAGACATCGCTAAGAATTTTAAAAATCGCATAAGTGGATTCTTCGATAATGGTGAGTGAAAAAAAAAGTAGTTTTGAACCAATCAATAGAATAATATAGTAATAAGTAGTGTTAATAGTAATAATATTTTAAGCACCTTTGCACCTATGTCAATAATAATAATTCTAAATTGTAAATTTCTAAAATTAAACTTTACTGGGCTTATAATAAATTAAATAATAAAAAGTAAGTGGATGTGGTTCTGCTGTAGAGTATGTGACAATTGGGTCACTGCAATGAATGGTGTTATATTTGAATTCAATGATATAAAATCATTGTATACGACAAACGGTTCTGAGTGAATATGGTCTGTCAGCCGGTAATATTACTTAGTAATTTAGTATATTTGATGATATACTATTGTCATTAAATTATTAAATTAATTCATTTTACTAGTAAGTATAAGCACTACGTTAGATTGAATTAATTTTTGCCAAAAAAAATACATTTGAAAAGTCATTGTGTGTATAAAATATAATAATATACTCTAAAAGTTTCAAGTACCCACGAATAATATTTTTAAATTACAACAAAATAGCTTAAATAATTATTCTTGGTTATTTAATATGTAATTTCGCCCATATTTGAACATAAAACAGCTAAAAAAAAACTGTGCTCATATACTTTTAGATTTTTTGGTTACAGAATAACCTACTTACGTGGAATCTTGTTTTAAATTTTCAACCCTAAGGTTGAAAGTTGAACATTAAAAAAAATTGTACTATAAAATTATTTGTAAATTTTAAATGATTTAAATTACATCAAAATTTAAACTTTAAATGAAAAAAAAAATCGAGACTATATAATTTTAATATTTTTCAACTGCTATTGTAACAATATATTAAGAATCTTGTATTTAATTTTCATGCTTTTCGACCCAACCAATAAAATTGTATTGACATTTATAAAAAAAACTAAAAAAAAAGTAGTTGAAAATGTCTGTAAACAGCTCAAAACGAGTCAAAATATTTTGAAAACGTTGTCAAGTATAGGAATTGATGAAATAAACATATGGTGTAAATTTCAAGTATCTACAGTGATTCGTTTTTGAATTACAACAAAATAACAGTATTGCTATATGAGAAATCGACTAAATATCCAATGTTGTACAAATTTCAACTCCAAGCGCTCAACAAAATTTAATTTGACTTTTCGGTAGAATTTTTTTTTCGATAAAGATAGACAAACTTATAAGGAACCTTGTATTACATTTTCAAGTTTTTCGACTGACAGAAAATTGTTTTATCGATATAAGTTTATAAAAAATAAAGAATAATCGAACATTTCATAGTTTAACACTAGTCAAAATATTTTGAAAATTGTATGTTGTATAGGAAACACGGATATAAGCATTCAGTGCAAATTTCATGTATCTACCATATTTTTTTTAGAGTTGTATCAAAAACCAAAGTTGATTTTTTTCAAAAACCTGATTTCCTTACAAAAAATCTCGTTTTTCCTAAATTGTTTGTTTGTTTCCCAACCGCTTTTGAAAATCATTAGGAATTTTTTACTGTTGATCCTCCAAAGTGCCAACTAGATTCACTTTCCTAAAAGAAAAAATGGTGTTGAAGCAAATCGAAGCATTTCACCAACTCAAAATGAGATGACAGACACAAAATTAAAAAAAAATAAAAAGCATACATCATTGAAAATTAAAACATTCATCTCTACACTCAGAATCTAAAATGAAAACTATATATTATTATATATTTAAGTGTAAATAGCATATAGTTACAATATATACGTTATAAATAAACAACCAATTGAAAATTGTTAAATTTGTCTACAACTTTAAATTGATATTAAAATTTAATGATACTTTATACAATAAGTAAACCTATGTAGGTACAAATAACTATCAAGTAATATATTTTGGTTGCACCATTTTGCAATTTGATCTTTAAGAGTGCGCTACGCCCGCATTTGTCGTTTCCCTTTCAGGATAACATAGCAAATTAAAACTCAGCAATTCAAGTTTTATTTTGTTAGTTCAAAAATTAAAATGAATCAACCCATTTTTAAATTTATTGGCAAGAACACTATTTGTGTTGAAATGCCGGTTTTTTACAATAGTTCAATTTTTAGCGTGTTTAACGTAAATAAAATAACGCAATTTCATAATAGTCATAATCATAACCATATAACTCTCTTGAGACTGAACAATCGTAAAAGCCGACGTACAAACACTGATGATTTACTTAAAAGTAAGTTTGTATAATAGGTTGTTTCACTCTAATTTTTAAACTAACGAAGCCAAACGTGAACATCAGAACATAATTTTGTCATGTCACGCACTCGTAAGTCGTAAGGCAGAGTGCAACGTTCTCTTAAAGATCAATTTGTAAAATGGTGCAATCAAATATTACTTATTACTTTAAAGTTATAATATTCTTCAGACGATCAGATATCAATTGCAAGTTGTAATCATCAAAATAAAATCATGTTGTGTATGTATATTGTATACATTTTACTAACAATCAACGGGATAGTAACATACAGTTAATCCTTTAACAATAATATTACATTAGTGAAAGTGGTTTTTATATTTATTGGATTAAGTACCTAGTTAAATTAGTACTAATAGGTTGGTAATGTTGGTTATAGGTAGAAAATGCTGGGTTGCACAAGTAACTACTAAATATCTAATTAATCAGTATTCGATAATGATAAAATAGTTACTTAAACATTTAAACATTATTAAGATTGAAAGTTAATTAAGATTTATGATTGGTAAAGTAAACATAATATTTAGTGACCATTATAATAAACACTAGTTATCAACTTTTTTATGAAACTCGAGCACTCAATGTGTTCCAAACATCATGAAAAATATACGGATTAATACAGTTTATGGCTCGATCGCAATTACAATTGAAACTATTAAACAGAAGTTTTACACTGTGGATTTTAGATTTATAGCGATAAATGATAATGCTTATAATCGTGTAATCAAGGAGTAGTAGGTAATAATAAGTACCTATTGACACTATTCTACTTGTACAAATATTAAATTATTTCCAATAAAATCGTCTGAAAATTTATTCAGAGTGCCATTATTCCAATCCCAGATTTAATATTACTAGTTGATGATTCTAAGTAATTTTTACAACAGCATTCAGAAAAAAATAAAAAGTCACAACATATAAAGGCATTAAGACATTTAGAATGAAAAGCCTTTTCTATAAATTTATATCATAATCATGTCGTTTTGTTTTCCAATATTAACTATCGATTAAACCAACGGGTCCCAACCTTATTCGTTCTACGCCCCACTTGTAAATTTTTCTAAAATCTCATTCCCCACTTTAAATTAGAGTTTAAGCGATTTTTTTTTTGTGAGCGGTACAAATAAAATATACAAAATGCCTATATATTATAGTATTATACAACATACAACTATTTACTTTTATTATTTTCATCATTTTAAAAATGTATAATAAATCAACTTACGAAGTAATTATATTAAGTAAAAGAAAAAATATTGAGTATAAAAACAAAAATATTAACATAAAGTAAAAACCAGGTAAATAATACCTCGGTCTATCGACTCTATCGTTATAACTAAAATATAATATTGTTATCGATGCCCGATAATCTGAAAACTAATATACTGTTTTCAATTTTACATATTGTAAAATAACATAATTATTTTCGTAAGTCCATCATCACTATATCCCCCCCCCCCAACAGACTCTAAATTCCCCCGGGTCCCAACCCGCTGGATTAAACTGTACTTACCTATTTCTAACTTCCTAGTTCTTGAAGTACTTTTGAAGTATTATTCTAGAATGGAAAATATTATCATGCATGTAATGTAATGGTCATACTCACATTTGGTGTAATTTTAAAGTAACTATGGTTGTTAGTTTTTGAGTTGCAATTAAAAGAATCAAAATGTTATTAAAAAGACTTAGCCCAAAATTGGTTTTACATAAAAATTCTCATTTTTTCTTATTTTTTTCTTTTATTTTTTTATTACTTGCTTCTTAAAACTACTGGGATTTTTTTACTTTTGACACTCCAAAGTACCAACTAAATATTCACTTTGCTCACCAGAAAAAATGCTGAACTAAAAAATCGGGGCATTTTTACTGCCCCAAGAGTTAATGACAGACAGAACAAAATAAAAATATACACCTCATTGTAAAATCAATACATTATTTTGCTCCACTCAGAATCTAAAAATACCAATTATTAATAATGTAAATAAATTAACAAAAGCCAATTTTCGATGATACAAAGTTTGTTAATTAGCAGATATATATAATTGAATGTATATTATGTGCACTGTATATTTTAATATTTATATAGATTGTAGGTATTAGGTTTATGTTTTTTACTTTATATTTCATAGAACATAGTAGGCATGTGTTGAATTTAAAAATACTATACTTAAATTGTAGTTGAATTATAATTTACAACACAACCTAAATCTAAGTGCCATATTCTATAAAATGATTTTATTAAAGTAGGTGTCTAAGTAATTCCATTAAAAACTCAATATTCCAGTACAATTAATTAAGTGCAATTTCATGTATTTCTATTATAATATTAATGGACGCTTTTATATTTTGATAAAATATATTACTACGGCCGAGAATAGAAAGCAAATTAAGGATATTGAGATATAATCAATTGTGGACAAGGTCGTGTTGAAACGATGATAGAGACGCCCTTATTTGTCGCTATGGAGACCCCGAAAATCAAAAATCCTCGAGTCGAGTGTAAAGTTCTATTGCCGTAGTCTCACGCCACAGATCAACGAATTACAATCATCAAATTAAACTTATAAAATCGTATTAATAGATCAAAGCTGAATAATTAGATTAAGGTAGGTATAATATTTTGTTGATAGTAAAATTATAACAGTATATATAAAAAAAATAATAATGCATATTATGATCATATTACATTAAAAAAAAATATTTAACTCTGTAGTAAATTAAATAGACTTAATTTTCTTACTATAGGTTTCAGTTGATTTTTAAAATCTATTATTTATATACATT